TTAATAGTCTCAAGTTGACACCAGATTATGTAACGACCACAACCACTAAAGCTCATGACGAAGAAACTAAAGAATTTTACTAACCTCTTCAGTAGATAAGGGGCTACCCCTAAAAAAACTGGAAAAAACCTCTGCTGGACAGTTTTCAAAATATGTATCCCCACCCACCCCCGCTAGGCGAGCATCTAGTAACTTGCTCTGAGTTAGTGCACCCAGCAGCATCACCTGTGAATTTTTTCACAGTAAAAGCAGTCTCGTTAGAACCTCGTTTTTTGTGATGGCCAATTTAAGAGAGCAGTGTGTGGTTGTGAAATTTTGTTTCCTGCTCAGGAAAAATGCTGCTGAAACTGTTGGCTATTGAACACAGCTTACAAGGACAGCATTATGGGGAAAACCCTTGTGTGAGTGGTTTTTTCATTTCAAAAAAAGGTGAAATGTTGATTGATGAAAAACCTCGTCCTGGACGTCCACCAACTTCCTGAACGGATGAAAATGAAAACTCATGGTCCATTTAGAGTTCATTCCACCAGGTCAGATGGTCAAGCTTTCTATTTAGAGGTTCTGAAAAGATTGTGTAACACTGTGTGAGACAAGAAAGACCTGATCTGTGGCATGTGGGGAATTGGTTTTGCCACCATGACAATCCACCTGTTCACGTAGCCATCTCAGTGTGCCAGTTTTTGGCCAAAACCAGCATACCTCTCTTGCCCCACACACTTTACTCACCTGACCACATTCCATGCGACTTCTTTTTGTTTCCGTGAATGCAGAGGGACATAAAAGGACAGTGATTTGATGAAGAGGTGAAGCAAAAAAGAGGGAAGTGCTGTCAGCCATCCAAAGAGATGAGTTTGAAAAATGTTTCCCAGAATGGAAGAGCAGATTGGCAAATGTGTTAAGCATAATGGAGAGAACTTTGAAGGTGATAAGGTTGTTTTGTTTGTTTTTTTAAAAAGTTAAATACATAGCTTTGAAAAGAAATTCTATTTTTTGGGTGGGTACACCCTTATAAAATTGATCAAGCATACAATCAAGGTACATTGATAATTACTAGTGACTAAAATTGAAAAACTGGAAATAAAGAGGAAGGATCAGTAGTTGGAAAATATTGCTTTAGTGATAGAAATGAAACTGGAGTAGTGCGCCGAACTCCCTTTCTGCCTCCGCTGCCGCCATGGCACCTGTGAAAAAGCCTGTGGCGAAGGGGGGCAAAAAAAAGAAGCAGGTTCTGAAGTTCACGCTGGATTGCACCCACCCTGTAGAAGATGGAATCACGGGTGCTGCTAATTTTGAGCAGTTTCTTCAGGAAAGAATCAAGGTGAACGGGAAAGCCGGTAATCTCAGGGGAGGAGTCATGACCATTGAAAGAAGCAAGAGCAAGATTACTGTAACTTCCGAGGTGCCTTTTTCCAAAAGGTATTTGAAATATCTCACAAAAAAATATTTGAAGAAGAATAATCTACGTGATTGGTTGCGTGTGGTCGCCAACAGCAAAGAAAGTTATGAATTACGTTACTTCCAGATTAACCAGGATGAGGAAGAGGAGGAAGATGAGGATTAAATCTTCAAGGGAATATTTTGTATAAGTCCTTTAATAAAACTTGGGAACTAAAAAAAAAAGAAAAAGAAATGAAGCTGGAGACGGCATGGCAGAATTTTGCAAGACCACTGACGCATTCCTTACAAATACCCTTTTAAACAACATAAATGACAAGTGTACACATCGGCCTTACCAGATGGAGTACACAGAAATAAAATTAATTACATTTGTGGAAAGAGATGATGAACTAAAACATGGCTAGAGGCTGACCGTGGAACGGGCTGTCGATTGCTCTTATACAGGTTCAGATTGAAGCCGAAGAAAATGGATGTAAGTGCACATGAGCCAAAACACAATCTTGAGTATATCTCACCTGAACTTAGGTGTCGGCTCAATAATAGGTTTGATCACTGAACACTAATAAGGTGACCAGACGTCCCGCTTTTGGCGGGACAGTCCCGATTTTTAAAAATTTTTCCTGCATCCTGTGGTGTTTTAAAAAAGTCCCGATTTCTGGAAAGAATTCACGACAAGCTAGGGGATACGGTTTTTGGGTGTCATGTGGCTATTTCGCCAGGATATGAGTTTTATCAATGGTGTCCCGCTTTACCAATGTTAAAATCGGGTCACCTTAACTAATGGCCAACGACACGTTGAATTGAGAGGTGACATTAAGAACATCAGACATAAAGAAAGAAGAAGGTCATAATTGTATAACTCTTCTTAATATGATTCAACTATGGAATTGTATGAGATATGAATTATATGCCAATAAAACTGTTTAAAAATAAGACCAAAGTGGATGTCCGAAGCGAGTCTGAAACTTGCTCTCAATCAGAGTAGCTAAAGCAAACGGGAGAAATGATGATGTAAACGAACTGAACAGAAATGTTTAAAAGATCATATTATTAGGGGCTCGTACAAATCTGATCACAATCCATACATCAATTGAATCAGGCATGTTTGTACATATGTTGCCCTCATTCTCTTCTAGACAGTTACCTTCTATTGAGCCCTCGGCACCAGCTCTTTTTTTCCCTCCCCCTTGCCCCCACCCTCATAACCCCCCAATAGATTGTACATTGTTATTCTTTTCATCTCTCATACCAACTGCTGTCTCCCTTCCCCCATGTTTTCTGTTATTCTTCCCCCTGTAAAGAGGGTTATGTGCACATCATTGCGATTGGTTCCCCCTTTCTCCCTTCCTCTCCCCCTCTTCCTCCTACCCTTCCGGCATCACTATACCCACTCCTGGATTCTGTGTGTTGTGAGCTCCCATCCCTTTCTATAGCTGTTGTACGTGTTCCAGTCTAGTCTGAGTTGAGAAGCCTCACTGGGGTCATGGTAGTGGGGGGTGAGGACGCCTCAAGGAACCAGAGGAATACAGTGTGCTTCACTGATGCTTTACTGCACCCTGGTGACTCATCCCCTCCCTGTGGGCCCTCTGTAGGGAGATTGTTCCACTATCTACAGATGGGCTGAACAGAAATTTCTGAAAGGCAGCTTGAGAAGACAAAGAAAAGCATTACAATGAAATTTGCAAAGACGTTGAATAGGAAACTCAGAGGGAAGAAAGAATTCAAGATATCTCAAGCTGAAATATCTGAAGAAAAATTCTAGCCTCAAGTTGAATTATTGAAGGATTCTATGGGCAAAATATTGATGAATGCAGAAAGCATAAAAATAAGATGGAAGGAGTACACTGAGTCACTGTGCCGAAAATAACTTGTCAGCATTGTACTATTTCAAGAGGTAGCACATGATTAAGAACCAATGAGCTTGAAGGAGGAAGTCCAAGCTGCACTGAAGGCATGGGCCAAAAGAAGCAAACGAAAACTCAAGACTCCAGGGATTGATGGGACGTCAACGGAAATGTTCCAACAAACTGACGCAATTCTAGAAGAACTCGCTTGCTATGCCAGAAAGTTGGAAGATTGGAAGAGATCCATATTTGTACCCATTCCAAAGAAAAATGACCCAACGGAGTGTTTTTTTGAAAGTATTGAACGGTGTCAGTCATATCACAGGCAAGTAACATCTTGCTGAAGATAATTAATAGTTGCAGCGGTGCATCAAAAGAGAGCTGCCGGAAACCAAGCAAGAATCCAAAGAGGACTTGGAGCAAAGGCTGTCGCTGGTGTTAGGCGGACCTTGACAGAAGCAGAGACTACCAGAAAGATGTTTTCTTGTGCTTTAGTGACTTTGCAAAGGCTTGCAACTGTGCGGAGCATAACAAATGATGGACATTATCGCAAACAATGGGAATTCCAGAACATTTCATTGTGCTCCTGCAGAAAGTGTCCATAGATCCAGAGGCAGTTGTTTGAACAGAGCAAGGGGAAGCTAAATGGTTTAAAAGCAGCAAAGACACATGAGGTTTTTATCCTTTCACCATACTTATCCAATCTGTATATGGAACCAGTAGTCTGGGAAGCAGAAATACCGTGTTTCCCTGAAAGTAAGGCATCCCCCCAAAATAAGACCTACTTACAGTTTTGCCTCTCGCTGAAATATAAGGCAGCCCCTGAAAATAAGACCTCCCCGAACATAAGGCCTCCCCGATTGTAAGGCCCCCTGAAGCTACCGCAACTCTGGACTCTGGACCGTAGTGGCAGGCGCCGCTGCACAGCTCACTGTTGGCCGCAGCGCAGCCGGAGCAGACAGGAAGTGTGAGTAAATATACAATAGTTATGAGTAAATGTACCATAGATTGTTGTACATGGAAATAATGGTAGTAACAAGAAATTCTTGATACTGTTGGATTCAGTTTGTCTGGTTATGCTGGTTTGTGAAGACAACTATTACCGTACCATATACAGGTAATACATTTCCTTTTTTTGTTATTCAACAATAAATGTGTACCGTATTCTTCTTCATGGAAAAATAAGATATCCCCTGAAATAAGACCTAGTGCATCTTTGGGAGCAAAAATTCATATAAGACACTGTCTTATTTTGGGGAAAACGGGGTATATAAAGAAGGATTCGGTCTCAGGACCGAAGGAAGGCTCATAAACAATGCTTGTCATCAACCTTGCTTGCTTAATGTAAGGAGCACACGAAGCTCTTCCTGGCGAACTCAGAGACTGCAGCCTTCCATATTAAACAACAATAATGGGAAGAAGAATCCTCACAACGGGACCAATAAATAGCAACCTGGTAAATGGATCGAAGAATAAGATCGTCCAGGATTTCATGCTGCTTGGAGTCAAAGTCAATGTTCATGGCAGCAGAAGTCAAGAAACCAGACAGGATTTTGACTTGGGGCAATCTGCGCCATTAGACCCCTTGAGTGTGACAAAAAGCAAAGATGCCATTTTGAGGACTCAGGTGTTCCTGATCTAAGCCGGGCTATTTTTAATTGTTGCACAGAAATCTATGCCAGGATATTTTTAACGGGCTGACAAACAAACAAATCTGGGTTTGAAGATGTACAGCCGGCATGCTCTTTCGCATCGAGGATGGCGAAACTTAGCTCCAAAAGTTTGGGCATTTTATCACAAGCAAGTGACAGTCCTAAGAAGAAGACTTCCTACTTGGTAAAGTAGAGGATCCGATAAGAAGAGGGACCTTCAAAAGATGGATTGATACAGTGCTGAAAAAAAATGGTTGAAGTATCAATGATGAGGTTGGTGCCGGACCAGGCAGTGTTTCGTTTCAGGTGTATATAGGGATGCTACCGGTCAGAACCGGCACTTAAAAACAACGTGTGTGTAGCAGCATCTTTTGGCTCACCCTCATGATAAAATGCTATAACATGGAAGAGTAGTTTATAGGTGCCAATGTGAGTGGGCTCTAACAACACCCCTGTGCCCAACAGAATGAAACTCTGCCCGCTCCTGCACCGTGTGCCTTACAGACATCGGGACGATCAACCCCACTGTGGCAATCCATCTATGGATGGTCTCTCTCTCTAATGTCTTTAGCAGCCTATCCAAAGAGCTCTAGATAGTTCACTCTCAAGTGCTTAGCAAACATCTCATAAAAGAATGAAGCCTCAGGCAGTGTTACTGCGATGGAATCATAGGCCCCATGCTTCTCGTTATTGCAGAAATTGAGAAAACGCAGTTAACAGAGCTCAGGGCGGTGTGAAGGAGTGGGTGTTTCAAAAGAGGCGAAAGATTGAGGAATATATTAAAAAGCAAACGTGAAAGATATTATCATGACTTACTTATTCCATGCTATTAGGAATGGAACAAGAACAAAGATCAACCTAAGAAGTGTGTCATGAGCTTGGCTTTTGGAAAACATAAAGCCATCTCTTCCTCTCAAACTCTATTCCATATTTTCATTTTTTCCCCACACTTCGATCCTTCCACATTTGCATTCCTTTGGAATTGATTTGGACTGTCGAGTGGCGATAACATGAATCATTACTTTTCAACTGGTCAGCAGATTGAGCCAATACCATTTTTGTAATGAAAGCATGATTGTTTCCTCTGGTTGGAAATGCAGGTTTGGCCATACATCAACTTTTTAGGTACACTTAGGTCTGTGGGGGAGGGGGTTGTAGTTGGCTCCACTGATATAATTGTTCTTGCACCAGCGTCACTTGACTTCCATCACTGGAATTTTCCAATCTATGAAGGGGCTTCAAAAGGTTCATGAAGAAATGGAATTAAAATATAATGGATTTTTTTTTTTACCACTAACTTTTTGAAGCCCCCTTATATTTTGATGTCTCACCCACTGTCTACCATTGAGTTAATCCCAACTCATCATGACCCTCTAGGAGAGGGTAGGACTGCCCCCGTGGGTCTCAGAGACTGCAGCCCTTTACAAGAGTAGAAAGCCTCCTCTTTCTCCCTGGGAGTGGCTGGTGGGTTCCAACTCCTGACCTTGTGGCTAGTTACAGCCTGACATGTAACCCTGCACCACCAAGCATCCCTTTTAATTCTAGGACTTAGGATTTCCTGCCTTATTATTAGTTTTCAAAATTTGCTTTGAAATCCATAATATTAGGGGGGAAAACACTAAGATTGGGATAATCGTATGTTCACATGTAATCTGGGGGTGGGGAATGGTCTATTAGAAATATTAAGACGGCCCCAGTCACTGAGCCAAAAGCCGCCGAGGATCCAGCAGCCCCCGCCCCCTCGAGCCCCCTCGCTTCCTGACGCTCCGTCCCCACTGCCCGCCTTCTCCAGCCGCCGCCTTCCGCAGGCGTTTCCACCGAGGAAAAGGAATCTATCGTACGTCCGCTATCCAGAACCTCCACTCTTTCCACCCCTTTGCTGATGCAATTAAGGGTGATGACCTGCTGCTTGTGGGGGCCGAGGATTATATCCGTATAAGAATTCAACAGCGCAACGGCAGGAAGACCCTTACCGCTGTCCAGGAAGACCTTACAGCTGTCCAAGGGATTGCTGACAAAAATAAACTAGGGAAGGCGTTTAAGAAGACATTGGCCTGCAATGGCGCTGTGATGGAGCATCCAGAATATGGAGACGGGATTCAGCTCCAGGGCGACCAGCGCAAGAACGTAGGCCAGTGCCTCGTAGAGATTGGTCTGGCTAAGGACGACCAGCTGAAGGTTCATGGGTTTTAAGTGCTTGTGGCTCACGGAAGCTTAAGTGCGGATTTCCTTGCAATGAGTAGTACAATTCCCTCTGTCCCTTGTCACACGTTTAAAACCTCACAGCTTGTGTGATGTAACCATTTGGGGTCCACATTTAATTTGGACTAGTGTAACTCCTTCATGCAATAAACTGAAAAGAGCCATGCTGTCTAAAAAAAAAAGAAATATTAAGACTTCTCATTCAAGAACGTAAGATATTTGTACTAATATTTATAGTCTTTTAAAAGTTTTCAGCATCTTCTTTGAACGGAGATGACTCTTTCCTTGGCGTCTGTTCCAGAGCATTTTATATATTGATATCATGAATGGGATTTTAAAAAAATCATTTCTCCAATGTTGTTGTTGTTAGGTGCATACACTCCATCCTGCCTCATTGGGATCCTGTGCACAACAGAACAAAACACTGCCCGGTCCAGCGCCACCTTCACAATTGTGCCCGCGCCTGAGCCCATTGTTGCAGCCATGGTGCCAATCCATCTCCTTGAGGGCCACCCTCTTTGACTCTGATCCTGCAGTTTACCAAGCATGCCGTCCTTCTTCAGACTGGTCTCTCTTTACCACATGCCCGAAGTATGGAAGGCCAACTCTTGCCATCCTAGCCTCTGAGGAGCTCTCGGGCCTTACTTCTTCCCATACAGATCGGTCCTTCAGCGGTCCACGATCCTGTCAATATTCTTTGCCAGCACCACACTTCAAACACATAGACTCTTCTTCGGGCTTCCTTATTCAAACGCTATCGGCATACATTGGAATATATCTGAATTTTGAAAAGATAAACTTAAATGTATTTTAAAATATTAAACTATCCTTATAGCCTGGTAGGTCATCATCATTCTTTCAGTACTTCTTTCATGCTAAGGTTTTACGTGTGGATTGAGACTCTGGTAATCTTAAAACCTCTTTCAGAACCTCTTCCGCTATCCACTGTCTTCCCAGAACATCTTCCACAATTAACCCTGCAGAAGAAAGACCTTTTTCTTTGTTCCTTACTCAAGGTCAAAGGACGCCTCCAAGTCCCAAGAAAGACAGGCTTCTTTTCTATCTTAATGTCCACAGATCAATGCTGGAGAAGTCACGATACAGGAATAATAATACCCAATAAACAATTCGTATGAGGCCCAGGGCCAGGAAGATGTAAGTATTGTCCTATTTATGTCTTAGAATGACCCTCAGTTTCTTTCCAATGTGTACTAGATTAACGAGTAAACAAAATCTCAAACAACATTCTTATAACAAAGATGATGGTGCATTTCTTACAGGTGCTTTAAAAATCCTTTGTTTAATGACAATAATTTTTAAACATACACACCAGTAGTGCAAAGAGTAGAAGGTCTTTCCATGTACTCATCACAAGGCTTAAACAGTGCATGAGAACATACACAGCTAAGCCTAGGCAGCACAGGCAAGATGTAACCAGAGGCTCATGTCATCTACCATACCACTTGTCTCCTTCCAGCAGTCTTTTAAGACACGTTCCTGACATCATGTCGTTTTATCATTCAATTCTTCAGCATTTTGCCCAATTCTTAGCGAGCCCCTACAAACGGAGAGCAACAATTCTGAAACAGTCAGAGATTCTCCAAATAGAAAGCAAAAGACCCTGCAAATCTGTCCCAAACAGTCCAATTCCACCCATGGTGATTCCATGAGTGTCCAAGCAGAATTGTATTCCACAGGTTTCCAATGGCTGATTTGGGGGGGGGCGGGGAGTATATCACCAGGTCATTCTTCTGAGGGGCCTCTGGTTGGACTTGAACTAATGGCCTTTGGATTTAGCAGTCAAGGACATTAACTACTGGCACCACCCAGGGATTACTCCCTAAGAGATTCTATGAGGGTTTAAAACCATAGGACCCAATCTACCAACTCCAGAGTTGGGGTGGGGAAATATCTAAGCCCAATGCCACCTGTCATGGACTCTCCCTCATGCCTGACTACTTTTTGCTGCCCTAAGAGGCAAAGGAGGCCGGTATCTTAATTGCCCCTCCCTTTTGGGAGGATGATAGAAGCGCCATTTATATATGTGAGCGATACTCTAGCTCCTGACTAGACTTAGAGTGGGGTGTTTGAGCTGAGATAACTGAAGTTGGAAGAGCCGAGTGGGCTCAGGATAAGAGCTGGAGGGAAAGGGCTGAGCACCAGGTCAGGGAGGCTGGGGAGAGGAGGTTCGGTTAGCAGTTACCAGGCATGGGAGTAGTTGGGAGCAAAATGGAAGATGGGAAAGAGCTGCCCTGAACGGACTCTGTGTGGCTTTTGCAATTCATCTCAACAGTCCACGGAGCGCTGCGTTCCTGGGTGGGGCAGGCTGATTGGGAGTTCAGAGGCAGGGAAAGCACCCCCCCAGACTCTTGCTGAAAGGCTGTGGCTCCCCTAGCGTCTCCAGTGGAGACTCTGGTGGGTTCTGGACTGTGACGGCGGGGAGCTGCTTGACAGAACCATATTTTGGGACCTCACCCTTCCCATGGGCCCAAGTATTTGGAGCTGGCCGCAGTGTTTGATCTAAATGCTTGTGCTACTAAAAGGGCATGGTGACTCTTGTGAGTGGCCGTCTGGCATTTCCTGGCCCCTGTGAGCAGCTCATATTTTCTCAGTCACTAGCAGTTTATCAAGGCACTATGACATTTTGCCAGCAAATGGGCCACCCTCACCACACAACCATTAGATGGCGAGTCCAGAAATGCTTCTCAAGAGTTCCCATTATGTTGGCAGCCTTTTTGCCACAAAGATCGGGTGAAGCTAATGTGCAATCATTCATTAAATATTAGTAAGCAAGCGCAAGTAAGCTTGCTGGTTCCTCAGCCTTATGGTCTCTTACAGCCCTGACCTGAGATCTTCATAGCCCTTGTAAATGCCCCCTTCTTCTCTCTTCCTGTATCGGTGTGATTAATCTCTGGAAACGGAATAGATCTCTCTTCACTTGATGGGTGACACCGACCTGGCCTCTCTCATCCAGGTCCTTTCCCTTCCTAATTTTAGTCTAGAGCTTTCCAGCAGCAACTCCTGGCGATTCTCCTTTTGCATTCCAACAGTTATGCAATTTAACGGTATGACCTCGCGACTCTCCACAATGCAATTCTACGTTGCTGCGACCAAGCCTCCTGCCCCGCATCCCCACCTGTTCTGAAGCCAGGGCGATTTCTGGTGCAGGACCCATGAGTTCCGCCCCAACCTCCTTGTCTTTCCCTCTAGGACTCTGTCCGTGCTCCAGCACCTTGGAGAACGTTCTAGACAGCATGAAAAAAGAGGCCCATTCTCGGAATCTGCTACAGCACCCTAGAGATCACCTTCCGTCCAAGGACTTGGGGAATTCGGTCATTTACCGAGTCACCGTTTTAGGAACCACGAATCCTACTTTGACACACACGAGGGTGTGGTGAGTGGCGTCGTCAAGCGGCTTTGGAAATGATAGGAAAAGAAGAGTGTAGGGCCATGTGCATGGAGACTACGCGTTGCCCATCCAAATCTAGCTTCCTCTTCTTGCAGCGCTCGGATGAGACTTCAACCTCTCTTGCAAATAGGCGTGGTCATGTGACCAAAGTGTCTCCCATGGGTTGTGGGCAGACGTGTAGGGGCCCAGTTGTAGGCCTGACGGGTTGAGAACCTCCCACGCTGACCCTTCCTTCTCTTGACACCCCAGGTGACCCCAGAAGTCATGAGTGGAAGATGGCAGAGCCCTGTCCGGGGGGAGGAGAGCTGTCCAGGAGTCCCAACCTGACCCTGGAGTAAAACGTTACACCCGGAAATGTCAAGGTCTTGGTTCCCACCGCCTCTCCTACCCTAACTAATAGAGGGCGAGATCAAGAGGAGGCGATGTGTTTTCATTTCTGTCTGTCCCGCTAACTGTGTGGGATCCATTCTCCCTCTTCTCCTAGCTGAGATTTAGAGCAGACCTCTTGATCGGTCAGTTGCTTTGTAGGCAGTCAAAGGTCATTGAGTTCCCCAAATAGTTCAGGATTGCATATCTCGTCTCTGGCAATGGTAAAACCCCCAAACTTCATGTATATTTGAGTCCTCTTCCCTTCCTCTGAGCGTGCTTCTCCGTGAGATCTGAGGTGTGTGGTGTGCTCGGCTGGGTCCACCAGAGGCACTCACATGGGTATAGAAGAGAACTTTACACCAAGAAGTGATTTTATATCAAGAAAGCATCCCATCCCAGTCTGATCAAGTTCCTGGGTCTGATGCTGCCTGGAACCCTCTTCTGCTTTGTGGAGCTGTAGGCTGATGGTGCAGCAAGGGGAGTGGGGAAGCAGGGAGTTCTCAGACTGGCAGGTGAAGAAATTAGTGGACCTGAGGTTGGTGGGAGCATGGAAGGGCGAAGAAAGCTCCCTGGGTAGGCAGCTCCCTGTAGAGTTGCTCCACACCATCCCAGCTATGAGGAAGGCAAAAGGCCAGGGAGGTGGGGGGGGGGGGTGTCTCACTGTCTGCTTAAAAATGGCCACACCCCAAGGAGGCATCACCAGGCTCCCACCTGATTGACAAGTCCAACGCCACCCCTACCACACAGGTACCATCACATGATATTCTCCTTGCACCTTTTATGCTTTGTAGCAGAAATTGATATTGTTCTTTAATGTCTAGTCTCCTTATTAATCGGACTCCCAAATTTGCGCTGCACCTGTAGCTGTTTGGACTAATTTGGAAGCAGATTCCCAGCATCCCTGGCATCTAGGTGTGGCCATGGGAAGAACCTCTGGTCACCTGGGCCCCAATCACGGTGCTGTGAGCAACCTGTGGTGATGTCCTCCAAAGACAGAAGTGTCACCTCCCTTCCCATTTCAGCATTCACACTGAGGCCAGCCCTCTTGGGAATGGCAGCACAGGCAAGATGTAAGGAGTTGGGTCTCAAACCCCTGGAATCACTAGATCTCGAGCCCAAGGTTCTTAGAGATGAAACCATGCCATGAGAAAGACATGGACTCTTGTCTCTTTTAAAGATACAGACATTGTCCCCCGTCCTCCAGCAAGCTGAACCAGCATGCTAGCATATCCCCATCACTCTCCACTCACCTTACTCCCCGTCAGAGGCCGGGACGGTGAGTGGAGAGGTCTTGTTTGACTAGGACTTGTTTGGTATAAACATTTACTGGGTGGGTAGGCATAGCGGAGTCTTCCTCTCCTTGGGCACGTGTATGACAACCCTTCCCGTTGCTAGAATTCCCCTCCCACTGACTTCTCAATGGGGTCAATGCCTTTCCCAATGTGGTTCACTTAGATTTCTTTCTTCAGCCTCGAAGAGCCTGGCACGTCACACCTCTCTTAGGCGCACCAAATCCCTCCCAATGGCCCTCATGGGATCTAAGAGAATCTGACCAGCTCTCTCACACGCTGGCCCCACATCTGGTTCGCAGGAAACCTCCTTTATCCAGTGCCCCCTGGAATCTGAGGCGGCTGGTTGCCTGGCAGCCCAGCAGCCTCTCAGCTCCACCACGAGGGCAGCTAGCCAGCCTCCCGCCTTTTCTTTGGTTTGTTTGTTGAGAACATACACAGCTAAGCCTACTGCAATTTGGTAATACTGATTACAGCTTGGGAGTTAAGCAACATTCTGACCCCCCTTTCCCAGGAACGTCTGCTCCCTGCCAGAGATTCTTTTTTTGTAAAAAAAAAAAATAATTTTACTGGGGGCTTGTACAACTCTTATCACAAACCATTCATCCATCAACTGTGTCAAGCACATTTGTGCATTTGTTGCCATCATCCTTCTCAAAATATTTGCTTTCTACTGGAGCCCTTGGTATCAGCTTCTTGTTTTTTCCCCTCCCTCCTCTACCCTCCTGAGCCCTTGATAATTTATAAATTATTATTATTTCGTCATGTCTTACACGGACCGATGTGTCCCTTCCCCCACTTTTCTGTTGTCCATCTCCCTGGGAGGGGGTTTTATGTATATCATTGTAATCGGTTCCCCTTTTCTCCCCCCACCTTCTCCTTCCCCTCCTGGTATGGTTACTCTCGATATTGGTCCTGAGGGGTTTATCTGTCCTGGATTCCCTGTGTTTCCAACTCTTATCTGTACCCGTGTGCATGCTCTGGTCTAGTCAGATTTGTAAGGTAAAATTGGGGTCATGATAGTGGGGGGGGAGGAAGCATTAAAAAACTGGAGGAAAGTTGTATGTTTCATTCTTGCTACACTGCACCCTCACTGGCTCGTCTCCTCCCCGAAACCCTTCTGTAAAGGGATGTCCAGTTGCCTACAGATGGTCTCCACTCACACTCCCCCTCATTCACATTGATATGATTTTTATTGTTCTGGGTCTTTGATGTCTGATACCTGATCCTATTGATACCTCGTGATCACACAGGCTGGTATGCCTGGTATGCGTCTTCCATGTGGGCTTTGTTGCTCCTGAGCTAGATGGATGCTTGTTTATCTTCAAGCCTTTAAGACTCAGCCACTATATCTCTTGAAAGCCAGGCATCATCATTTGCTTTTGCATTTGCTTATGCACCTGCTTTGTCTTCGGTGATCGTGCTGGGAAGGTGAGCATCATGGAATTCCAGGTTAATAGAACAAAGTGTTCTTTCATTGAGGGAGTACTTGAGTGGAGGCCCAATGCCTATCTGCGACCTTAATACTAACCCTATACATACAAGTACAGAGCTCTTTTCCCCATCATCAGATATAAATATATTTACAGATATGCATGCCTGTATTTAGACCTGCATAATTGCCCTTGGTTCTTAGCTGATCTTTTGATTGCTGTCATCAGTTTGAGCTCATAGAGACAGTTCCTCGCTGAGCATACTTTCACTAGTTCAGCTGAACTATTATTTCAATTTAAGAAGGCTTCAGGGAGCAATTTTGGTTTGAAGTTGAAAGATGGCCTCAGGCAACCATCTCAGGAGTTCATCCAGCCTTCCTGGCTCCAGAAAGCCTGGAGTCCCTGATAATTCAAGAGTCTGCTCTACACTTACCCCCTTCTACAGAATCATCGATGAACCGTCGCCTGCCTTTCTGTTTACAGACACACAGCAGTCTAGCATGTCTCCCACAGCACAGAGAAGTCATAGGACATGGTCTGAGGTGGGGTGGGAGGGGCCTGTGTGTCACACTGAAGTCCCTTGCCCTGGATCCGAGTTCAATAAAATGAATATTTAACGTCCACAGCTTTGTCATTGGGTCAAGTTTACTGTACGTGGCTGTCTCTTGTCTTAGGAATGTCTTTGACTTCCTCAAGCCCTTAAGGAGACTTCCTCCCTACTCTAGCCCACTGCCTGACTTTCTGTGGGGCAGTCCTACGTTTGGAATTGTAAAGGTGCTTTCCTACCTAAGGATACTTAATCCTCCTCCTTTTTTGTGTAGGGAGAGGTTGGGATTTTGAGAAGGTCCTTTTAGAAACTCACAGCAAAGGCCATTGGTTGCACCTGCTTTCCCACTACCCTGCCCCCAAGATACCAAGCTCCTCACAGTTACCTTGCAGTACTTGAAATACTATGAATTTTTTTTTTAACATTTTATTAGGGGCTCATACAACTGTTATCCCAATCCATACATACCTCAATTGTGTAAAGCGCATTTGTACATCGTTTCTCAAAACATTTTCTCTCCATTTAAACCCCCGACATTAGGTCCTCATTTTTCCTCTCCCTCCCCGTTCCCCCCTCCCGCATGAGCCCTTGATAGTTTATTAATGGGTATTTTGTCATATCTTGCCCTGTCCGACGTCTCCCTTCATCCACTTTTTGGTTGTCTGTCCCCCAGGGAGGAGGTCACACACAGTTCCATGTAATCGGTTCCCTCTTCCCTACCCATTCTCCCTTTACCCTCCCTGTTTTGCCACTCACACCACTGGTCCTATAGGGCTCATCCGTCCTGGATTCCCTGTATTTTCAGTTCCTATCTGTACCAGTGTACCTCCTCTGGTCTAGCCAGTCTTGCAAGATAGAATTCGAGTCATGGTAGTGGGAGCGGGGAGGAAACCTTTAGGAACTAGAGGAAGGTTGGAAATACTATGAATTTGTACCACATGTTCCCAGCTATTCCAGGACTCTCTGATGACTTTATATCCCCCCAGAAGCTCCTGAAGAACTCTGAACTCACTGCCATCGTGCTGATCCTGACTCATAGCCACCCTACGGAGCAGGCAGAACTGCCCCTGTGGGTTTCAGAGACTGGAAGTCTGTACAGGAGTGGAAAGCTTCGTCTTCCTCTCAAAGCGGGGCTGGTGGTTTCCCATGACGCACCGTCTCATTAGCAGCCCAGTGTGTGACCCCCTACGTCACCAGGGTTCCATCCCAGAGGCTCTGGTGATGCGATATTCATGTGCCATTTGTGTTCCTGGTCCACCTCACCCAAGGTGGGCTCTCATTTCATCTATGGTGCAAATGCATAGTATTTCGCGACCAAATCCCAAACGTGTAACCTACGTTTCCCCAGGAACCAGCAGGGATATGCAAATGGGGTCACCTGACATCCTAGCCCACTGATGGACAATGAGGCCAACTCAACTTTTGGCTGTTGTGAAAATGGCTGCAAGGAACCAGCGTTTATGGAGAAGGATTTGTTCTTGACTCATTCTCTTATTTCGCAAATCCTTCCCGAATTCCCCACTAGACCTGGGGCTTCAGCGCCTCTGGCACAAGCAGGAAACCTAATAAAGATGGTTTCTGTTTCATGGAGTTTGCAGCCTGGTGCAAGATGGAAAAAGAGCAGTCTTACACGTTAACCTTCAAGACGGTGCTGTGGGTTACGTCCCTGGGGCTCAGCTGCACTTCTGCTCCGGGGAGTTCTCTCGTGTGAAGTCCGTCATGGTTCAGGAAAGTAGACCCTGACGTTTGCCTTGCCAAGTGGAGTGCTATTCTTTTTGCTCCACTGCTATTTTAACCTGCTGGGGCGTGGGGCAGGAGATTAACCCTTGCTATGCTCCCACCCCCCACAATAAAGGGGAGAGGAACAAACCAACCGTCTCCTTCCCACATCCCAAACTCGCAGCAGCAGCGCTGGATGGTCAAGTGTCTGTTCGTGTGGCTGTGCTGTGAGCACCCCGCGATTCCAGAGGAGGCCAGCGTTGTTAATCTTGAGGGTATGTGGGTAGCCCAGTGCGGGGTGGGGGTGGGGGGCGGGGCATGGCTGAAGTGGAAGACTTTGAGAGGAAGTGAAAGGAAAAAGATTTGGGGAGATGAAGGTTGAAGAGGAGGCATGGTGAGAGATTGTGGGGGGCCCAGGAGGGGCATTGGAGAGAACCTGCAGGCAGACGTGGCCCAAAGAGCAGAGAGGCAGTGCACTGGGGGTGGTGACTGGTTCATCCCTAGGGCCTCCATACTTGGATTTGGATTAGTCCCTGAAAACTTTGATCATCACCCTCCCTTGGGCTTTTCTGTGTGGGAGAAGGTCCCGTGAGAAGGTCCCCCAACCCCCAAACCAAACTCACCTGCTATTGAGTCGGTGCCGACTCATACCGCCCCTGGGAGTTTCCGAGACTGCAGCCATTTACGGGAGTGGAAAGCCACGCCTCTCCCTCACAGTGGGGCGAGTAGTTTCGACCTGCCAATCTGATGGATCAGATCCCAAAGCACAACCACTACACCACCAGGGATCCTGTACGACCCCCACCCCCACCCCCAGGTGACACATAAAGATCTGTTCTTGCTTTTGTGAGACTACCATTGAGGAAAAGCTCTTAGGGAGAAAATTCCCATAGAAAAACAGTGAGGCTAAGCTCCCTGGCTTCCCCTCCTAGTCTCATCCACCCCCAACTCCAATGCCAAGGGCGACAGAGTCTATTTTCCAGGGAAACGCAGCTCAGGCGGACCATCATCCAAGGGTGAACACCAGCCTGGAATGTTAGCTTCATGTCCAGGAACAACAAACACAACAACCCCCCCCCCAAAAAAAACAACAACAACAACCATGTTATTTATTTAGCTATTAGGAATTATGATGCCTTTCTGATTTGCTTGGTTTGTGATTGGTTCTCTGGGTCAGAACACAGAGACTTTCAGCCCCCTTCCCCCTGCCCCACCTCTGTTAATTGTCTATCCATCTGAAAATACACGCTTCAGACACCATTTAATGGGACCGCATATTCCTTTATTCAGCGAGGAATTCACTCATGATTTGGATAATTTTACTCTGTTTGCAAGTAGGAGGTTCTGAAGCTGATGTTATAAAGTTGGGTGATCCCACAGGGAGGGAAAGGGGAGAAAGAGGAAACCCATCACAAGGTTGGATATATAGCCACTCCCCACCCCCAGGGGATGAATAACAGAAATGTGGGTGAAAAGAGACAATGGACTGTGTAAAATACAAAATACTAGTAACCCTATATAATTAGTAACAATATATACTTGTAACTAGCAACAATACTAGTAACTAGGATTACTAGTAACAATATATAATTGATACTACTAACAATATATAATTGACCGAGAGGGGTGGGGGGTGGGGGAGGGAGAAAAAGAGGCGCTTATACCCAGGGCTCAAGTAGAACATGTTTTGGAAATGATGATGGCAACATCCATACAAATACTCCTGATATAATTCATGTGTGGAATGTTATAAGAGCCCCCAATAGAATGATTTTTTAAAATAAATAAATATGTGAAAGGGCGGTCCCCCTTCCGCAGAAGCGAGATCTCTGTAGAGATACTTCCTCCGCCCCTCCTCCCTTGGAATCCCCCACCCCACCCCACCCCCACCCACCCCCCCGCAGGGGTTTCCTGGAGAACAACTGTCCTGCCTTGTTCCAGATGAACGTCTGCTTGGGCGACTCCAGAAGGTGGGCAACATAGCAGATCTGGCCACTGGTGGTGGGCAGTGGAGAACCCACTGAAAGAGATGATACAGGTGCTCCAGCCTCCGTTGATGATCACGTGACCGTGTGGGGTGGATGGGGGGGAAGACCATTTCTTCCCTCGGGGAAACAGGTTCCTGGGACAAAGGAAGCCAGGGGCCTCTTTCCTGATGCATCACTGTGGTGTATCCTCTAGTGGGGGGCAGGTCGCGGTGAAGTCCTCATCAATGGTTTCCCAGAAGGGTGTGACCCTTGGGCCCACCCCTCCCCCCCAGGTACATGTGTCATTGGTCGGGGTATTGCTCACTACGCCACGGCTGAAACTAGGCTGGTAGGAGTCTCTGGATGTCATCCTGGTCTCTTTACTACAAGGAGGAAGGCTGCTGGGAAAGCCCGGTGGTAGAAATAGCACTTGTGAGCTTTGATCCTGTGATTCAAACATGGCCAGCTCCCCTGTCCCTCCTACATCTGTGCGTTTCGGTCCCCCACCTTGTAGATGGTGCTGAATACCCGTCAGGCAGCAAGAGACGATTTTCTGTACTTGGACTTAGTTCCACCCCTGGCTGAAGGGCTGTGAAATTCACGGTAAAGGAGCCCCAAGAGATACAGCAAGTGTGATCAATTAACCACCCACCTACCAGTCCACCTGCCCTGGTTTGCGCATGATTTGAGCAACACACGAAATATAATCACATAATGCCTCCTTCTCCTGCCCCTGCCTGGAATCTCACTTCTTCTTCAAATTGCCCTTTAGAGCAGTATGCAAATCTGATCATGCCCAGGCTTAATTTTTATTAACATGCTCCAGAGCCTACTGGATACAATCCAAGCCCCTTGGCAATGCGGGCAAGTCTTTTCAAGAAAGCCTGTCCAATCTCATGAAAGTCTTTTGTGGAAGACACTTTTGGTGCCCACAAAACAGCGACCCCCTTCTTCTTGGCTGGCAAAGCGTTTAAATAACTTAGTCTGTTTAGCATTTCAGTGCTGCCCTACCAGACACTCAGACTAGTCCCTTCCTAGTGCAAAGGGAGGCTTTATTTTGATCGCTCTACACCAGCCCTCTCACGCTCATTCCTCTTGCCATAATGGGCTCTGGCCCCGATAGGATGTGTGGAAAACTCTGCTGGGGCGCTTCTGGGAGAGCTGTCAGCATCCAGGCAGGGGGCTGGGGCTGTGACGGCTGTCGCTGTGGCGGCCGATCCAAGTCTCCGAGACTTCGAATCCTAACACACCGAGGATAGGAGAGCAGAAAGCTGGGGGACATGTTGGGATCTGATGACATCGCTGAACCACTACATGAATCCAGAAGCTCCCAGAGTTTTTGTTTAAGCTGCTTTGCTGGTACTCACCATCATCCGCATTGTGATTGTGGCTGATCGAGCTCCGCAATAGCATCTCACCCTTCTCCTTCCTTCTGCTTAAAGCCTGTAAGACGTACAGTGTAAGTGGTCTCGTTCACACCTCCAAGCGCCTGCACATGCCTGAAATGCTCTTTCCCTGGTCTTCTGCCCCTGTGTGTGGGGGTAGGGGTGGGGGGATTGGCGAGGGAAAGGACTCTTACTATTGGTCCAAGATGAAAGTCTAGGCTCTCCACTTATCTTCTCAGATAACACCGTAGGAGGGGCAGCAGTAGTGTAACTTTGCTACAATAGTCTGAGTAGAAGTCTATGTGGGCAGACCCTTCTTCCAGGGTTGGGGTGGAATTGAATGCTTAGCTTTAAAAAATTTTTATGCTGTTTAGCTGGTGTGTGTGTGGCGGGGGATGGGAGGGGGTGGTTTCTAAGGTCCCTGCCTTGGATCTTAAGGGTGAGAACCATTTTTGTTTCCATAGGGATTCAATCCTTGAAGATTCCCTTTGGAGACTTCCCAAAGCACAGAAGGACTAGAACTCAAGTCCTGTATGGATCCTGTGGAAAGGAAAACAACTCTCATGGATTTTACTGAATTGCTTTTATGCCTTAAAGGTATGCAGACTGTGTGTACTAGCTAGTTCTGATTTCCTCATGCTGCAGTACTGTACTTCATGCGGCCCCAAGCCCCAAAGTAGCAGATACAAACAAAACTTGAAAGGCAAATGCATGAAAACCAACAGGACTGTCACACCACTGGCGACAGGCGTGCTGTTCTGTGTGTATGAAGGTCTCATGAACACGCTCTGCTCACAGCAGGCCCTTTGCATTTGGCATGAGAGTCCACTGTGTGTCCAGAGAGGACTCAGTTCCGCTCCCCAGCCCTGCCACTCGTGTTTATTCAAAATGCTAAGGAACCTTCTTTAGCACAATGGTTCTTTTCATATTAGCCCAAGACAATTAAAGAAGTGTTAATGTGGCCTATTAGCCCAAGACAATTAAAGAAGTGTTCATGTGGCCATTCACAGGGAAACATCAGAACAGGCACTCCAGAACAGGGCAGGGATCAGTTACATGCAATCTTGAACATTCTGTAAGCTAGAAGCTTTAGAATACTTTTAAAAAGTTACCAGGGAAATGAAAACCTGGAATTTTCATAGGGCATTCTTGGGTCCTCAGGAGCCCAGGGATCTCAGTTTGAAAAATAGTATCCTCGCCTATTTCTGAGGTCCCTGGATGTTGCAAATAGCAAATAGTCTGCATGCAACTACCAGCAAGATCTTGGAAGAAAGGTTTAATGATCTGCTTCTATAAAGATCGCAGCCAAGAAAATCCTATGGAGCAGTTCCACTCTGTTGCACATGGGATCACCATGAGTCAAGGGCAGACTCAAGGGCAGCTAACAATAACAGTCTATCTAATGACCTTGACTTCCAGTGTGACCTTGAGCTAATCATTTCCCATTTTTGGACTCTGTGCATTCATTTATACACAAACAAGAGGGATATGGGCCAGTAGCATTCTTGGGAGATGAAGAAAGAGGAGAACTAGAGATTGTGTCCTAAGATCTTCATGCACTATAAAGGAAGGGCTCAGACCTTATCATAAATGCGTAGAAGTGGCCACTGGTGGCGAAGGCTGCCGGTCTAGCTTTGGCTTTAGAGGAAAAGTGTGACTTCTAGATCTGTCAGTTATTATGTATGGGTCTGTGGGCAAGTTATTTGACTTCTCTACCTCTGGGCTTTTGCCCCTTAAAAGCGAGGACAGTTCAGAGGCAGAAGCAACGTGGCAGAGAATCAGAGAAGGCAGCCAGCACCAGGAGCCTCCTCAACACGCCCCAGAGCGAGATGCCCGCCCCCACCCCCACTCCGCGAAGAGCTGCAGAAGCAGAGGAGGAGTTCAGCACGGGGCGCCTCCTGGTGCTCCCGCAGTCCGTCAAGAATAACGCCCAGGTGCTCATCACCTGTCGCAACAGCAAGAAGCTTCTGCGCAGTGCGAAGGCCTTCCACAGCAACATGGCGCCGGAGAACGTGAAGGGGATGTGGACCGAGGTCCCCGAGAGCGGCCAGGCAGGGCAAGAAGAAGTCCAAGCCTGTCCACCGGGACCCTACATCTCCAAGCTGTTCCTGCGAGGGGACTCGGTCATCGCGGTGCTGCGGGACCACTCATCGCCGGCAAGTAGGGCCGCATCACACGCCCTGGGAGCCCTGCCCGGTGTATCTGCATGAATGTCTGTCACTTCCTATGCCAAGGTTCTGCCAGAGTTCGTGTTGGGCACCTGTTCAGAAACGCCCCCCCACCCCCCTCAGTGGTTTGTCTTATCACTGCCAGGGCCATGGTTAAGTGTCACCCAGGTGGTCCAGACTCACAGCGACCACGTGCACAACAGAGGGGAAGCCGCGTCCAGGCTTGAGGCATTTTGACCCCTGTGACTAGGTTGAGCAGACACTGTATGGCTGCATCACTTGGAAGGCCTTCAACGGACTCAGATGGTTGAGGTCTAAGGGTTCCAGAGCCACACAGGGGTTCAGGAGTCCCATGCCTAGCCCCCTCTCCTATTTTCTCTCTCTCTTGGATGAATGAGGTGGAGGGATCTTTCCGAAGTCCTGGATGGGAAAGTACAACTTGTAAGGTAAGTTGTAGCCTCTGGGCCTGGTTTCCTTTTGATGAATAGCCCTGCACGGTCTACAGCCAAGGGACACCGAAATGAGGAGGTGGGAACACGGGACATTCCTAGCCTGAGCATAACCTTCTTGGAGATGCCTCGTTTCCTCAAGGCTTTCCTGGGGCTAAGGCTGAGACAGCAGCTGGGCAGGGACAGAATACAGCTGGTCTTCATTCCTTCCGTTTCTCCCCAGTCTAATAACAATGAAAACAACCCCCAAGTGCTGACTACATGCTAGGCACCGTTGAAAAACATTTCGTCCCCCCCATTGCCCTGTGGAGGGTTTCACGACTGCTGGTGGGGTCACGCTCCAAGTCATGAGATGCGCAGGCACCACAAAATGCACCGCTGTGCACTCCTGCACCATCCCCATGAGCAGCTGCCGAAACCTGTTCAGCATCTCCGCTACACAGAAGTCACCACCGACAGGCGGCTGGTGGCTGTGCATGAGGTGTGCTGGCTGAGAATCAAACAGCGGCCTAATGCATGCAGGCCGAGGACTCTACTACTTAAACCACACAGAGCATCAGATGAGGAAACAGAGCCCCAGAGATTCCAGGCCAGTCCACCAGTGGGCAGAACCACTGGCCTGCTTCTAATTCCCACCCCTAAGCCATTTTGCTTAGCTATATAGGCCTCACCCTGTTTCCTTTGAAAACACCCCAAATCTAATCATGTCATCTCCCGCTCAGACGCCGAGGGTCTGTCCTTCTTTAGAGTAAGCCAAACTGCAGCAAAATGTTCCAAACCCGCTGCACCAAGGTTACTCTCCAGAACAGAACCCCATCTTCCAGGCACAAGCCCATTTTCACGTAGCCTTAGTCACCTCTGCCTACCCTTCCTCTCTGCATTCTCAGTGGGGAATGGTCCAGCTCTGCCGATGGCGCTGGCAGATGCCTTATAAGGTAAGTTATAGCCCAGGGCTGGTTTCCTTTTTATGAATACCCATCATGTCTGCCCATGTTACGTAAGACATGCACCCGGCATCACCTCTGGATGGTAAATGCCCAGAGAACAAGGAGTGGGCCCGGTTTCTCAATAGTTTCTAAATAGCTGAGTCCTGCGGGAGGGGGGGGGGGGGGCTGCGGGGCGAGCCCTCTGGAGTAATTGTGTGTGGAATGAATTGGAAGCAAAACTCAGAAGGACACAGAGGGAGATCATGTTGGCATTGCTGGGGCGGTTTCTTCCATCATATTAGGGAATCCTGGGTGGTACCCATGGGGAATGTGCAGGCTGGGCTCCTAACCAGAAGGCCGGAGGTCAGAGCCCTCCAAAGATGCCGTAGCCACGGAAACCACTGGAATGTCATTGTCATTCCAACCGACTGGGACAGGCATTATCTCCATTGTACAGGATCATGGTGGGGGGGAGGGGGGCGTGCGTTTACAAGGCCAAGACCCAATGGAGGGTGACTTTTCAAGCCTCTCCCTCTCAGGATTCCATGTTTCTCGGCCTCTGGTCTGGACGCATCCCCCTTCAGCAGGACCAAATGCCTCCCGCCCAAGCTTTCAGCCCTCACCAGCCAAGGTTGCTTCCCCCCACTCGTCGCGGCACCTCCCTTTGTCTGGGGTATCTTTGTCTCTGGTCTCCCTTTCGCTCCGTTCAGTCCTCGGCCTCCCCTCCCTTTCTCCGAGGCCAGGCTGCTCCCTCCCTCTCTGCGGGGGCCGGGAGGCTCGGAGGAGGGGAGCGGGCTGCGTTGCCATGGTCACGGCGAAGCCGGCCGCAGCTGGCCCAGGCAGCTGCTCCTGGGCCCCGGGGTCCCGGACGCGCGGACAAAGCCAGGCCTCCTGGGCAGCCCCAGGCCTGGAACCCCAAAGGCCCAAGGCAGGGGAGAACGGGACCCCAGAGAAGGCCAGAGCCGGAGGTGAGAGGGAGGAAGGCCGAGCTAAATCCGGAAGGTAGGAGGGTACACTGCGGCTGGGCCCTCCCCTTGTGGGGTGGGACCAGGTCCTGGCTGGAGGCTGTGTGAGTGGGAGGAGGGGAGCTGGCTGGGAGGGTGGCGGACCCAACAATAATTCCCTCCCCCACGGCACTGGAGGCTAGGGTGTCCCCGGGGTTCGGGTTCGGGCCGGGACCTCGTGTCCCGATGACCAGAAAAAAAGGTTTGGTTCCCTCTAGGACCGCTAGATCTGCCCTCCAGCGCCATTCCTTTCTCAGCCCCGTTTATATCCCATCTCCCCAGCCCCGGCTTCAGCGTCCGGGACTCGGCCTCCCTCTCATTCCCTTTGGGGTCTGAGCGCCTCACAGGTCTCCCAAGTACCCCGTTGCCCTCTCCCAGGTCCCTCAATCCACTCCCCCGCCTTTGTCCCCTCTCCAGTTCTCCCCCTCCCTCCGCACCCCCAGCCCGAGTTTCCC